TGTATGTATGTATCCAAAGCATTTTGTTTAGAAAAAAGACTATTCATTTCTTTAGTCCATATATAAATTTCGTACGGGAAGGCTGTATCGCTAAGCGGTAAAATAATTTATTTGTTGTTTAAAATTTAATTTTAATTTAAATTCAGTAAATATTATATTAATTTTTCGTGCTATTAGATAAAATAAAATTTATGAGATTTATAATTTATATTAACTAAATTTAGTCTTTTGTTCATAATATTTAGAATAAAACAACCATTGTTTTTGAAAAAATAGTACTAAAGTTTATTTAAAAAGAAAAACTAACTTAATAAATTAGTAAGATTCGGTGTACTTTTTAAAGCTTTTATTGTAATCATATTTAAATAAAATATAACAATATATTTGATAACATTAATATAAACAGGCGTTGTGTAATATAAAAGCCCCGAGGGTGTTGTGTCGAAAGATGCAGAAGCAATAGTCTACGAGAAAAGGAGAACGTAAATGTTATATTTACATTTACTTTTCCAAAGAACGAGGTCATCAGGGATGCAAGCATTAGGAAAAACGAATTCGACACCACCGAAGTATTTTTAATTTGTAAGAACTTTAAATTTTATTTTGCTGCCTGTGGCAAATATAATTTAATCAATTACTTAGCAATGTTAAGATTTGAACAATTTAAATAAATATGTAATTTAATCTTTCATAAAAGAAAATTAAAAAATTTTGTGAGTTTAGTTGAATATATTTTTGTCAAAAATTTACTAGTTTTAAGAAAAATTGATTAAAAATTTTATTTATTTTATGGTAATATGTTATGTAGTTTATTCAAAAATAATTTTGTTATGTATTTACTATTTTGGTTTTAGCTGAAAAAAGTTTTGTTACCTGTAATTTACTATAATGCAATATGTTATCTGTAATAAGTAACTAGATTGAAATTTAGTCATGAATAAATATATACTTGTAAAGTTTGAAAAATTATTAAATTCAAAAATAAATTTGTACAATACAAAAACCAGTTTAGAATTTGATTCCAGTATTTTCACATTTTTTGTTAAAATTTTTTTAAATAAAATAAGTAAAATATTTGTTTTGCGCGAAATGTTAAAACGGAATCGTTTCCAAGTTATAGGGATCTTAAGAAAATTTAGTAAAATTTTTATTTTCTCACTATTCGTATATTTTTTCTTTAATTTTGGTTCCAAGAAAGATAGAACTTTTGAAAAATTTGGAGCTTTTAATTCAAGATTTAAAGCAGGGAAGAGTATTAAAAATAAATTTTTTTTAAAACTAAATAAAAATATCGAAAGAAAACAAAACAAATAATGCAAAGCAACTATCCACACTGAAGAACATTCGAGTTGGAGTCAAATATACCTAATATTATTTGTAGCAGAAATGAAAAAGCTCTCCTTCCTGCCAAAGCCTGTCGTATGTTAATACCGAAGTATATTTATTAATAAGTATTGCGTTTACGGGTACATCACACTAATGCAATCACTCACCAATTTTTGTATAAAAAAAACTCCCTTAGCTAAAAGAGTTAATCAATATACCAAAGTATATCTACTAATAAGTAATTCGACTCGTTCCATTCTGTTAGTTTTCATTTGCATCTTGCTTCCAAATTCTTAAAATATTCCATTTTTTTTAGAAATAGATATTAATAAGAATTGTGTAGGCAAGAAAGAAACAAAATATTGTAAACAAACGAGTGTATCAAAAACGTTGAACTAAAATAAAATTAAATTAAGTTAGGTAAAAATTTTGTTATTTTTATTTTGATAATAACAAAATTTATTTTTCATTTTATAAAATTTAGGTAAAAAATTCGAATGTATGAAAGCAAAAGAGTTTGAAATTTCAGGTATGAATGTACACATGCATGTACCTGGTACAATAGATACACATTTTCAGGTAGTGACATAGAAATAAAGTAATTTATAAGGAAAAAAAAGGTGTATGCATACTGATTACTTTATGAAATATAGTTATTACCGATTCATTTACAAGAACAAAGCTCTCCACATCTCTTGGCAACAAATGAAATGTTCGTGGCGGCTTTTTTGCCTCACACACAGTATTACATGCCAAACACTTCAAATAATGTTTACCCATTATTATAAAAAACAATTTTTTTTTTCACAACTACTTAAAAGTTTTTTTGTTATTATACGTCTTTTTAAAATTTATTTTTATTATTTTTCATATAAATTATAACAATTTTTTTAAACACTTTTTTTCCGCTTCGCATTTATAATATGAATACACCTTTTTTGCCATCTTGTACTGGAATGAATTACAGAAATTATTGTGTCGCTTTTAAAATTCTTAATATTTTTCCCTATACTTTATATACGAGCAAATAATAAAGTGTTGCCTTTCAAAATACATTATAAAAAAACAGGTAGACATCTATTGCGTACTCTTTCCCTCTCCCAAAAATTATTATGTGTATAAAAATTAAAACAAGAAGATATAATGCTTAACTCTTTTAACTAAGAGAATTTGTTGTATACAAATATTGATGAGTGATTGCATTAGTGTGATGTAAACGGAGAGTCGAACTACTTGTTAGTAGATATACTTTGTCAGTATACCTTCTTATATTCATTTTTGTACACATAAGAATTATTGGGAGAGGGAAAAAGTACGCAATAGATGTCTACCGGTTTTTATACCCTGCACTTCGTGAAGGTTATATTAACTTTGGTATGGAGTTTGTAACTACTTGAAGGAGTCATCTGCGGTATGGACATATATATATATTCTTGCTCAGCGTAAAATTCTGAGTCGATTTAGACCTGTCCGTCCGTCCGTCCGTCCGTCCGTCCGATCGCACGATAACTCAAAAACGCATAATGCAATCGACACCAAACTTTCACAAGTTTTTTCTTTTGTGCCAAGGACGAGCGCTATTGTTATTGGACTAATTCGGACAACGGGTTCGGGTAGCTGCCATACAACTCAAAGAGTTTATTTTAAATATTTCAAAAACTAATTAAGATATAAATGTAAAATTTTGTATACATGTGTCCAATTATATTCTACACACGCTTTAAAAATTATAATGGGATAGCTGCACCGGTTCGGGTGGCTGCCATACAACTGCAACAGCAAATTTTTTATATTCGGCAAAATAATAAAGTCAGATTCATGAAACTTGGCAGTCATGTGTCCAATTATAGGTCAAATATATTTCTGAAGTTTTAGAGGAATCGCTTGACAGGTTCGGGTACCTGCCATACAACTCCAGAAGCAAATTTTAAATATTTGGAAAAATAATAAAGTTAGATTCATGAAACTTGGCAATCATGTGTCCAATTATGGCTTAAATATATTTCTGAAGTTTTGGTGGAATTGCCCGACAGGTTCGAGTAGCTCCCATACAAGTCTAAAAGCTTATTTTAAATATTTGGAAAAATAATAAAGTCAAACTCATGAGACTTGGCTGTCGTGTGTCCAATTATAGGTCAGACATATTTCTAGAGTTTTGGTGCCATTGCTTGACAGGTTCGAGTAGCTCCCATGCAAGTCTAAAAGCTTATTCTTAATATTTGGAAAAATAATAAAGTCAGATTCATGAAACTTGGCAGTTGTGTGTCCGATTATAGATCAAATATATTTGTGAAGTTTTGATGGAATTGCTTGACAGGTTCGGGTACTTGCCATACAACTCCAAAAGCTTATTTTACATATTTGGAAAAATAATAAAGTCAGATTCATGAAACTTGGCAGTTGTATGTCGAGTTATAGGTCACATATATTTCTGAAGTTTTGGTGGAATTGCTTAACAGGTTCGAGTAGATCCCATACAAGTTTAAAAGCTTATTCTTAATATTTGAAAAAATAATAAAGTCAGATTCATGAAACTTGGCAGTTGTGAGTCCGATTATAGATCTGATGTATTTGTGAAGTTTTGGTGGAATTGCTTGGCAGGTTCAGGTACTTACCATACAACTCCAAAAGCTAATTTTAAATATTTGGAAAAATTATAAGGTCAGATTCATGAAACTTGGCAGTCGGATGTCCAATTATAGGTCAGACATGTCCGTGAAATTTCTATAGAATGATTTTAGAGGTTCAAGTAATTGCTACACAATAACGAAAGGTGCAGGGTATAATTCAATCGGTTTATACCGACTGAAACATTTTTACTTGTTTTATATTCGAAATTTTTATGAAATGAAAAAAAAAAAATTCTTGCTGTCAAAATAAAAATAACAAAATTTTTACCTAACTTAATTTAATTTTATTTCAGTTCAATGTTTTTGATACACTCGTTTGTTTACAATATTTTGTTTCTTTCTTGCCTACACAACTCTTATTACCATCTATTTCTAAAAAAATATGGAATATTTTAAGAACTTGGAAGCAAGATGCAAACAAAAACTAACGGAATGGAACGAGTCGAACTACTCGTTAGATGTACTTTGGTTAATACCTTATACCACAGCTATTGCTGCATTCCTTTTAATACAATATACAGAGTTATTTTTAGCATTGGAACAATAAAGGCAATAAACTAGCTTTCTAAAGTAAACTGAGTGTTGTTGTAAATTTAAGATATTCAAAAATGAAATGAGATATAAAAAAAAATAAATTAAAGTTTGCTTTTGAATAGATTGTTAGTAATTTATACACTCACACTATGCATTTAGATAGGTACGTAAACACTACGTATTAGGCCATGAGTAACAACAGAAATAAAAAAATTCAATTTTCATAATATACAAGTAGGCTATGAATATTAAAAGAAAATAAAAAAAATTCAGCACAAATTTCAATTTCAACAAATGTTCGCTACCTGCATTTGTATGTTGGAATTTGTGAAAGTAAAATTTTAACAAATCTGTATAAAAAAAAGTATAAAAAAAGAAAAACTATTTATAGCTGCTGCAATTATTGATAATAGTAAAATTTTGAAAAAGAAATTTTAAAAAGCTAAACTATTATAATCAAAAGTCGATATTTTTAAGAATTCGCATTTCAAAAACCAGTAAACAGGGAAAATGCAAAAGCAAAATATTGCACCAATATTTGGAAAGGATAAAAATTCATTGGATTTGGTGGGATCAAAAATAAAAATTGAAGCAACTCATCAGGCTTATCAAAATTCAAGATTAAATCCAACTAAACAGCGTGCAGTTTCACTGTTTACTGCAAATCCCATAAGCGGTGTAAGTATATCAATAATGTACAAGTACAAAATAAGTATGTATTCGATATTAAAGTATTTTTAGAGGAAATTCAATTTCTCTACATTCTCACCAAATATCCATCCAATTGAACCTTTGGTCTTAATTTTTCTGCCCATGCCGCATAACTGTACTTCGCGTTATAAAAATAAAATACCAAGAAGTATTTCTGCAAAACTTTTAACCTACTCCTTTTACTCTTGTGAAGATGAAATCTGTAGAATTGTAAAAATTCTTTTCAAATTAAATTTTCTTTTTATCTCTTTTTAAATTTTTTGTACTCATATGCAACTGTTTTTCGTTAATATTTTATTTAGCCACCTCCAGCATTTCAACCAACATACTCAAGTAGACGGTGCAATAATCGCGATATCGATTCTAATCGTACGTGTGAGTCACTTGTTTTGCCAAATGGTACTATTCAAATTAAACTTAGAGATGGAATAAAGTAAAAATTTATATTTAAATTTAATTTAATTTGAGCTGGGCTTTCAAAATTGCTTAAATAATTTTAGAGTGAATATGACACTAGATAAAGCAGTACGTATTATAAATCAACGGTCTCATGTTGCAATAGCGTTATCTAACAATGGAAGTTCCTCAGCTTTAATACATCCTAATGGAAGAGTCTACCAATATGGTTCTAGAGTTGAAATTATAGCTCACGACGGAATGAGAACAAATAACTACATGTAATTTTTGTTACATCACTGGTTTAATTTTTTATTACAAAAATCAATTTTAGAAGATACGCCAAAATGTGGTATAAAGGTGTAAGCTTTACAAGTGAAAAATGTGCTTTAATTTATTTAGTAGATGCAGCTGGAACACGTACTACTAGTGATACATTTATGGATATGTCTAAAGATTATACAATGGCTGTTTTTTTCAAGTAACTTTAACTTTAGTTTTTAGAATGAATTATATAACTGTTGTAAGATTTAATTTATTTTAATAAATGCATGTATTGCAATTATTGTTAAGTGAGTCAAGACATGGTTCGTCGTATATCCTAGAGGCAACAAATACATTACGAGATTCAAAATCCCAAATTACCGAAGATGGTACTGAAATACATGAAATAAATGGTTTTCGCATTTCTCAAACGCCAGATGGCTTAGTGAAGTAAATTTGTAAAATATGAAATTTCAGTCTACTTGACTGTTTTTGTAATATTATAGAATAACTCGTAATCATAACAAATGCTTAATCAGGACAAGTCCTGGAAATGGATCCGCTACACTAACAACTCCAATTATTCATTGTACAGCTTCTTTGGGCAAAACGTCTCATCTTTTTGTTAGGTAAGCTTTGATTTAAATATTAATGCTTAAATTTTTTTCGCAAAAGAATTCCATGCATTTTTGATTCTTTGTTAACACATGCATAACTTAATAACGGGATAGCATAATATAAGCATATAACGGGAAAATATATATATATATATATATTTATATATGTTGTCTCTAAAATTAGCCCTGTCGAAAGAGTTTTTTAATTTAAATATTCAAAACGATTTTGTACGTTGATTTAATTTCACTTTATTTGTGAACATCAGAATACATTGTTTCTTAAATACATATGGTTAATGCATTTAATATGCATAATAATTTGAAGAAAATTGATTTAAGAGAGATATTGAGAAAAAGTTGCCGACATAAGTGCTGCGGCTCATAAAAAAGAAAGTACAAATACAAAAACAGTTATGGCAATTACTATTAATTCACTGTTTACAAACGTATTTGATCAATTAATTATTTATTAAAATTAAAATAGCATGAGTCGTTGGGGAAGCTACTACACAACCTCGAAATTTTTTTTTATATGCGATTGAAGGTATTACAACTACATACTTGAAATTTTGTGTAAATGAATAAGGTAATAAAGCCATTATTTTCGGTAAAAGTCTTTGAGGCGATATGAGTTTATAGGATAACATTTTTATAGAATTTAATTAGAATTTACTTAATATAATTTTTTAAATAATTTTCTAATTATATCTGTCTTTTATTAATATTTTTTAAATGAAAAAATAAAATAAATAAAAAATAATTTTGAAACTTCTCATTTGCATGCAAATCCGATATTCTTCGATAAAATCTACACCAAATCCTGTCATGCGGAAAAAAAAACAACCATTATTAAAAAAATTAATAAATGTAAAGCAAAAATTTTCTATTTTCAAATTTTATTAATTTTAACTGCTGTAATTACTAATTTTTGATCACAATAGTTATTTCAAAAAGCAGGTGACGTTTTTAAGAACCGTTACTTTGGTAAAAAAACATAAAATTTTAAGGTTTACAATGAAATGCATAAATTTTAGAGAAAGTTTTCCAAGGTATTACTTTTTGGAACTTGTTGCAACAAAAACTGAATGGCTGAAGCTGTTCAGGGATTCCAGAAGTGAAATAAGCTGGACGCAACTCAATATACGGAGCATGCTCACCAGGAAGCTAATGCCCTGAGAAAGAGTGAGGTAGATGGCAACAATTGGTTCTTTAACATGATCGACAATGTTCGGTTCAATTCAGCTCGAAGCACTTCTAAGTTTATTTGCAGAAAAAGGTTACAAAAAATTCAACGATAGGGATTTTTCTCTTAAATTTATTGTATTTCAATAAAAATCTTAAAATTTCATTTTTTACCAAAACAAGAGTTCTTAAAAATTTCAACTGCTTTTTAAAGTTACTCTTGTGATCAATAATTAATAATAGTTCGTAATTACGGCACTTAAAATCATTAAAAATCCAGATTAGTCACAATTTTTTGAATTTTTACATTTTATTAAGGCCCCTAAATTTTTAAGAACTAAATGGTTTTTACACTTTATCTCCTATACCGTAAAAGATTTTTTATCGTTGGAGGGCTTGAATTATTAAGCTTAGGATGGTGGTCAAAATTCTGCAATAACAATTTTAATTAAAAACGTTTCTGAAACTTTCGAGAAAAATTGTAGGGATACAAAAATTAAGAAAATACAAAATGAAAAAAAATTGGTGTTTTTCCAAAGTTCGATTGCATTGTATTCCGGAAGTACATAAAATAAAAAATCATTCATTATATTGCTTTCAAGTTCTTAACTAGCCGTCTTAGAAACTGTTCATTTGAAACCTATATCTTTTTCGGAAAGGAAATTATAAGCAAAAAAGCTTGGGTCAGTAAAAATTTCGCGAAAATTCGTTAAAATCCCTGTATCTTTTGTTTTGACAACTAGTTCCAAACAAAATTACCATTTTTGATGCCCTAAACACTGATATGTAATATTGTACTCTTTAGTGAATCACCCTGTACATATAGCTACTTCTCAAGTGTCAAAAGTACGGGAACTTCTAAAAAAGCTAGAGACATGGGACAAGAGGCATAAGATAGGGTCCTCCTGTAGCGTCCAAGAAAAGCAAGAATTCTACCCGCTTTCCCTTTTACCCCCTCCCAAGAGCTTTGCGACCGCTTTCTACAAAATGGTGCTACATCCTATCCTGTAGGGGTACTTTTAGTGGTATAAATATTATATAAATTAATTTTTGGAAGTGTGAGTTATAACAAAAAGTGAATACTTTCTTAAGGAAATTGTAAAGAGTTAATAAAATCTACTTTGTTTTATAAAAAGTATGTACGTACGCATTTAGTTATGTATTCTTTTCGCTATCTGCTACAAAATGTATTAGTAAGCAAAACATAAGTGTACATAAGAAAGTGTAATGAGAAAATGTTATTTTATTGCATTAAACTTTTACAAGTAGGGTATTTTCAAAAAAAAATTTAGGTCGAAAACTCGCTGATATTGATTTGTAAGGATAAAGCTTTTTTAATTTCCTTAAAAAAAAAAAATAAATAAAAAAAAAGTTCATCTGAAATTTATCAGGATTCTAAATTCAGACTTTTTGCATAAGAATCATATGCTATACGCTTTACCGTATATAGTATTAGTATTAACTAATTATGCGTTCACGCGTTTTATTCGCATCTATTATAAAATCCAAATACATACGTACATGGATTTTATTAGCGAATTATTTTATGCGTATACAGAGCTTATTGTCAAAGATAGTTTACGATTTTATGCGACATTACTCAAAGCGAGGTTCTAAAATAAATTACTTAAAAGATATTAGATCTCAAAGAAGCTAATAATTTGTTTAATTATGTACTTTTTTGTAATTATTTTTAAGAGCTTTTCTTATTTTAAGTTTTATGTTATTATTTATTTGGAAAAAACACCTATCTGTATGTATAATATTACGAGTGTGTTTTTAAAGAAAAAAAAGTAAACTTAAAATATCTCACACACAGAATGGAACAAAATCAAAACTACAGACATAATACTTGCAAAGCTCACACGATTGATAATCTTGAGGTTCCACGAAAATTATAGTAAAAATATGATTGCTTGCCTTTTTATTGTTGACCAAAATTTAAAAAATTGCACTATCAAAATCATAGACATCTTTATTCTAAGGACTCCGTAATACACAATTTACTAATACATACACACGGTGTATTTAAAGTTGGTCATTATACTTTTTGTTAAGAAATATATTCTTATATTAGGTATTTTCGAATAAATTTAAAATATTCGTCGTGATTTGGGATGTTTGAAAAATAAAAAACGATTAAAAACAAAAAATATGCAGAAATTATTTTATTTCGTTTAAATATTAACAAAATTCAATTTCTTATTCTTTCAAACTAGTTTCTTATTACAAGTAACAAATTGCATTATAACAAATTACAAGTAACCAAATATTTTTCAGCTAAAACCATAATTGTAAATACATAACAAAATTGTTTTTGAATAAACTACATAACATACTCGTATTAATATAAAAAAATAAAATTTTTATTCAATATTTCTTAAAACTAATAAATTTTATGGCAAAAATGTATTCAACTAAATTCTCAAAATTTTTTAATTTTCTTTTATTAGAGATTAAATTACATACTTATTTAAATTGTTCAAATCTTAACATTACTAGGTAATTGATTAAATTAAGATTTGCCACAGGCAACAAAATAGAATTTATAGTTCTTACAAATTAAAAAAACTTCGGTGGTGTCGAATTCGTTTTTCCTAATGCTTGACCTCGTTCTTTGGCAAAGTAAATGTAAATATAACTTTTACGTTCTCCTTTTCTCGTAGGCTATTGCTTCTGCATCCTTCGACGCAACACCCTCGGGGCATTTATATGACACAACACCTATTTATATGAACGTAATTAAATATATTATTATATTTTATTTAAATATGATTACAATAGAAACTTCAAAAAATACACCGAATCTTACTAATTTATTAAGTCATTTTTTCTTTTTAAATAAACTTTAGTGCTATTTTTTCAAATTCACCTTTGTTTTATTCTAAATATTATGAAAAAAAGACAAAATTTACTTAATATAAATTGTAAATCTTCATTTCATTTAATAACACAAAAAATTAATATAATTATTCACTAAATTTAAATTAAAATTAAATTTTAAACAGCAAATAAATTATTTTACCGCACAGCGACATAGCCTTCCCGTACGAAATTTACATATGGACTAAAGAATGCTATAGTCTCTTTTTTTGTAAAACCTTAATAAATAGACACAAATACAAAAGTATTAACATGTCTTGTACATTATAGGAGTCTATTATCAAAATACATAATATTCAGCCTAGTTAGTTTTGTCTAGACGTGTCACATTTGTGAATGTTACATTTTTTTGGCACGTCACATTTACATATTTTAGTATTCTACTAGACACGAAGTATGAAGAAGCTAGACTCGAAATTTTTTGATGTTAAAAAGTTGAAAATAGTTTTTAAATCAACTAACATATCAAATTGGAGAAAGATAAAAAGGTAAAAGTAATGGAAAAAAAAACGAATTTTCTATTAACTCGTTTAAAAATTGAAACTGCTGCCGATTAGTTACTTTTACACTAATTACTCAATATTGCCATTAAAATATCTAATTATGCCTACATGTTCTTCATTTCCATTAATTTTTATTTTAAAGTAACTGTTATACCTCTATCGACAACAAAACATACGCGACAAAATGTGCCACTTTTTAAAAATGCTAGAATAAAATTAAGGGCACTTTTTGTGACAAATATGGAGACAGGAGTCTAGGAGAACAGCAAATCTGTCACTGATTTGTAAGGCTGGTTGTATTTGTTTGGCACAGCATTTTCTATGAAAGAACTACTAGACTTTCTTAAATGTCGTCGATCAAATTCGAAATTTGCAGTATATTTTCAAAAAATTTGTCGCTAAATTTGTGGCAGCAGCAAAGGTACATGTGTTTGTTTTCACTTGATGCTTTTTCCTATTATTCTCTATGTATTCCTAGCAATCAACCTAAAGTATAAAACAAACACAATGCAGACACTTTCTTATTTCTGATTATTTATTTCTATGGATAATTTCTTTCCCATACTAATCATAATTGCACAGAAAATTATACAAAAACGAGAAAAAATAGAGTTCAGCGTGTCAACTCGGTGATACCCGTACGAATTTGTTATCCTATGTTTGAATAAATATGCCATAGATGACTATGAGACAGACTATGTATTATCAAGTTATACTAAGTTGTTGTATTACCATATTAATTTATGCAAAGTTTCAGTTCAGTGTTTTTTTTAAATATGTACCAAACTACGAAGAGGTTGTTAGTTCAACCACTTTTATAAAACTATGGGCCGTACTTATATATTTACTTGTGCAAAATTTCAATACGACAGCTTTTACAGTTTCTGAGATAGAGCCAAATAACTTTTGAAGTTGTGTGGGAGCAACCAGAAGGAGCCAGGAAATTTCAGCGACTTTTATCAATCACATTGGCCATACTAATACATTCACTTGTGCGAAATTTCAACATTACAATTTTTATAGTTTCTTAGATATAGTTAAATAAATTTTGGAGTTGTATGGCAGCTACCCGAACCAGCACACCGATTATACCCAAATTTAAATAGGGTTCTGGATTTACTATAATAAATTATTTGTGTAAATTGGGTAAACTTAGCTCAATTATTTTTTGAGTTATCGTTGGGACGGACAGAAGAACGGACGGACTGATTAAGCTTAATCAACTCAGAATTCGACGCTGATCATATACACTTGAGTCTATATCTCAGAAAATATACACTTGAGTCTATATCTCAGAGCACTATTTCTTAGCAATTTCAATGAATTTTATCAAATACATTGGCCCTACTAACATATATGTTTGTGTGAAATTTCAATATTGCAACTTTTACAGTTCTTGAGATAATGCCAAATAACTTTAAGAGCTGTATGGTAGCTACCAGAAGGAGCCAAGAAATTTCAACGACTTTTATCAAACATATCGGCCGTACTCATATATTTACTTTTGCAAAATTTCACTACCACAGCCTATACAATACCCAATTTAAATAGGGTTCTGGCATTTACTATAATAAATTATTGTGTAAATTTGGTAAACTTAGCTCAATTAGTTTTTGAGTTATCGTTGGGACGGACAGACAGACATAGAAAGCTAAACCGACTCAGAACTCGACGCTAATCAAAAACATACCTTGAGACTACATCTCAGAGCAATGTTTCTTAGCGTTACGAACGGTAGAACATAGAAAGTATCTTAACTATTTTGTTAGTGCGTTTTTTTTAATGTTTTTAAAATATTTTTATCTTTTTCATTCAAAAGGTAAAACTAAATTTTTATTAGTTACTTATATAAAAACTTGTAAAATTTTCATTAATTTTATTATTAATTATATTGAAATAAATTATATCAAAACGTGTAAATAAATATTGAATAACTTTCTTTCTTTTGCAGACGAGGGGAACGACGAATGCATTTTGATGGATCTTCGTTTGTCGTTCGAAATTCTGGTCATTCGGCTGGTTTTGATGAAAATAATTTACTTAACGTATATTAAATATAGTTGTGATACCCAGATATACACATATGAACTCCTTTCTGTTAAATTCAAGGTTAAATGTATTTTAAAGCTTCTCAAAATAACATTTAATTCAATAAAACATCATCTTGAACACTTTGTGTAATATTCTAATTTTTATTTTATTATATATTATTAAAAAAAAGAGCGGTCTAATTGCATTTATTTTTCTTGTTTCAAGTTGTTTTTTACCGACCGTATTGTGTATACAATAGTTAGGTTATTTTTATAAGTGAAAGAGGCGGCTATTAGTTTGTGATTAGGTTATTACAGAATTAATTAAAAAGTTTTCTTTTTAAGAATTAAAAATTACTTTATGCACTTTATTTATGTTCACTTTATTTATTATATAATGCAAAATTTTAATTAGTCATATGAATCTGACAAATTAATAACTAAAAATTTTTTCTAGACGTATTCAAACGTTATGTAATAATTTTAATTGAAATTTATTTGTAATTTTGTGTCCTAATCACCAATAATATTTTCATTCTTAATTCATCATTCATACAGTATAGACGTGTTCGCTGTTACTTTTAATTTTCTTTTCATTTAATTTATTTTGCTTTTTATTTTCGTGCTTTTCTTTTTGTTTTTGTGAATCATACTCGTTATTAATTTGCAATAGTAATATTGTAACTGTAATCGCGTTTTGTAATAATTAAATTATACACTTATTAGTAATAATACAGTAACACAAGTCTAAGTGACACTTCATTTCTTTTTTTCAATATTTTATTAACGAGTTTTAATATAACGTAACAATATCCTTTAAATGCAATATGGTTAATTGTATAGCTACTGACGGTTTGTCAACGGACTCTTCATTGTGCCTGCATTGGAGCTTCAAGGGATTTATATCACCATTCCTTGAAAGAGTTCTTCGTTTGCACTGATTGCCAACAAGTACACTCTCTTTTAAGGGCGATATACGACAACATTGATAAAAAAATTACATCGCTTCATGAAGAAAAAGAATAGCGATAATTTTCTTGAGACGGCAAAAAATATTGAAAGTCTCTCGCAATCAGTTTTTGATGAGAAGCCGGAAAAGCAAAGTCCGATCCAGAATACACACGCAGAACAATATCCACGTCTGGAGAAAAGCATTTCATCTTTATCTGACTTTATGGTATCAAAATGTGAGAAAATGATGGACTCAATTAACTATCTCACCGAGAACCATTCTGTAATATCTAATAATTTAAAGTTATTCAGCACGAACCAGTCCAGTATATCAATGTCTATAAATGATATATATAACAAGATGGGCCCGCAAACTGCAAAGGAACCTGACTCTGCTGGTGTGCTTGAAGCTGTAATGAAACGACTGGACAGCATAGAAAGCAATTTATGTGACATAAGCAACTCGATTTCATTGAAATTCTGTAAATCACCTTCGCCAAAAAATAATGAAGCTACTCAAGAGGCAGTTGAGTTTCTTCAGGATGAGATCGAGGATTGCAAAAAAGTACCTTTTCAAAAATTATTAAGGAGTTCCAATCATAACTCTATGGTTGAAACGAGTGACCATAGCACAACCTACTTCGTAAAAGGAGCGCCAGTTTACGCTCATAAAATGTGGATATTAAAATTCTTTCAAAGTAACTTAATAACGGCCAACAGTTGCGATATAATTCATCCTGCGAGGTTGCGTAATAAGAGAAAGATCAAGTACAGATGCTTCAAAGTAGTTTTCCCACAAAAGTACGATTGGTTCTTCAGTAATAAGAAGGAGCTTTTAACTTTAAAAGCTTAACTCTTATTCGTTGGAAAAACAAGTATGGCACAGCTTCTAGTTCTAAATTAGTTTCTACAAATATAAGTAAGGATACTTTGCCTAGACATAGTAATGACACTCTAAAAATATCTTTCTCAACTACTAAGAAAACAAAAAACTTTTTCAATAATAAAAAACATAGTATTAGTAACACTTCTAAAACTTCTTCAACTCAGATTGAAACAGATTGTGCAGTTAACAATATGTTGGGTTTATCTAGCCAAAAAGTTCAAAAATACAATAACTTTGTTTATTCTCATACAATTAATCGGAATGACGACATAGATAATAATATTAATTGCAACTGGAATGTTAAAACTAATAATAATAGCAATATTAATAATAATAATAATACTAATAATAATAATAATAATAATAATAATAATAATAATAATAATAACAATAATAATAACAATAATTATAATAATAATTATAATAATAATAATAGTGATAATAATAATACTATCAATAACAGTACTACCGATAATAGTGCTAATAATAGTAATAATAATAACATTAACAATGATAATGGTAATAATAGTAGTAATAATGTTGTAAGTAGCAACATTAACAATGATAAGAATAATGATGATGATAATAATAATAATAATAATAATAATAATAATAATAATAATAATAATAATAATAATAATAATAATAATATCAATAATAATAATATTAATAATAGTAATAATAATAATAATAGTAATAATAATTATATTAATAATGATGATAATAATAATAATACTAATATCAATGATAAAAACAATGACCTTGTTACATTCTTGATTCTGACCTTGCAAAATTCGATACGAGGAGACAGCGTCTACGCGTTGTCTCGTTTCCTTGAACCTAGTGTTCTGAATAACGTACGCTTATTCTTAGCATATATGGATGACTAAGATAACAATATCTGCATGGAAGGCAAGACAAAAACTTATTTAAAGGTTTCAATTAGACAAGAAGGCTTGCCTAACAATTATAAGGATTTACTAGAACTGTTTCTTAAATACTATGATTCTGAGGGGATTTCGACTAAGGATACTAAAGCTGACTTAGAAGCTTATCGGCTTGCCTAACAATTATAAGAATTTACTAGAACTGTTTCTTAAATACTATGGTTCTGAGGGGATTTCGACTAAGGATGCTAAAGCTGACTAAGAAGCTTATCGGCTTCAACTTGTGAGTAAAAGATATGAATATCTGCAGAAAATAAGGGAAACGAGCATAAGTTTTTTCGTCCCTGCACATCAAAATAATCTCATACGTTTAATTGACAATACCAAGAAGAATGGAAAACTCCTTAATATGTTTTACCATAATTGCAGTGGTTTGAGAGGTAAACTAAAAAACCTTTTTATTGACGCCAAATCATGCAATTTTAATATTCTAGTCTTCACTGAAACCTGGTTAAACGATTCATTCAAAAATGAAGAAATACTTGATAGCATTTGGTTCGTATATAGAAATGACCGTGATTATAATTCCACAGGTCAATTTAGGGGGGGGGGGGGGGCGGAGTTTTAATCGCCACCAATAATCATGTATCAAGTCTATTGGTATCTTCTTGGTACAACATAGTTGTCCATTATCTTTGAAATAATTGACAACCATGTTCCGAAAATCCGTAGAAAAGATAAATTTAAAGAACCTTGGTTAGACCGTAATTTAAGACATTTACGCAGTCGGAGAAATAAATTGTACCATAAAATTAAGCACTCTGGTAATGACAACAACTCACTTATAAATGATTATAATGAGTTGGCGAATGAATTTAAGATTAAGGCAAACGAGGCATATGATAATTATGTCCAAAATATCGGTAACTCAATAATGGGCAACCCTAAAAAGTTTTTCGACTTCGTTAACACTAAACGTAAATCATCAGGTTACCCGATTTCGATGTGTATGAATGGCAAAATGTCTTCATCTCCCACGGAAATTTGTAACTTTTTTGCTGACAACTTCCAGCAAATTTATCGCCCTGAGTTACCCTCTAATAATGTTAATTTCAATCCTGCACCCCTTGTTAATAATACCAACCCGCTTTTCGAATACTTTCATTTATCGGTAGAAAATGTTTTTCAGGGCATCAGTAGCCTAGACGTTAAGAAGGGATCTGGTCCTGACCTTCTGCCACCAATATTTCTTTACAATTGTCGCTACATCCTGTCAAACCCTCTTTCCTCAATATTTAACAGATCTATATCCACCGGAATTTTTCCATCAGCTTGGAAAAATTCGTATCTGATACCAATTCACAAAAAAGGTGACAAAACAGCGATAGAAAACTACAGAGGTATTGCTATTCAGTCTGCTATCCCAAAATTATTTAAAAAATTAGTTACTAATATACTTGCACCGGTCATCAATCCATTATTAAATAACGAGCAACATGGTTTTAGAACTGGTTGCTCGACAACCTCAAATCTTACAGATTTCACATCTGACGTTCTTTCATTAATGGAGAAAGGTTTTCAAGTTGATACGATATATACGGATTCCAGTAAAGCTTTTGACCGCATCTATCACAATACCTTGGAGCGTAAACTAGTTAATTTTGGTTTTAAGTTCCCTCTACTAGGTTGGCTCAAATCTTACTTTTCGAGGAGAACCCAATTCGTTAAATTTCAGGGGATTAAATCTGAACCTATTCGCGTTCATTCCGGTGTTCCTCAAGGAAGTCATCTAGGCCCTATTCTTTTCAATGTCTTTATTTCTGACCTCTCTCATTATCTATCGGGTATTTCTCATCTAATCTACGCTGATGATTTAAAAATGTACCATGTTATAAATGATATATCTGATACTAACTACCTACAAACAAAATTAATACTTCTTGATAACTGGTGCAGTGCTAATAAATTAGACCCTAATGTTAAAAAATGTTATATTATCAGCTTTTCACGAAAGCGTTAAATCGTTTGCCAAAATTATTCTCTTCAAAACTCCACCTTAGAACGCGTCGACCACATAACTGACTTAGGTATCATTCTAGATAGCAAATTAAATTTTAATGCACATTATGATTATATGATTTCCAAAGCAAACAAAATGCTGGGATTCATAAAGCGTAGAGCCAGAGAATTTAACAATATCTGTGTTACAAAATCACTTTATTGTTCTCTAGTTCGCTCTATTTTAGAATACGACAGTATTATTTGGGATCCCGCTTTTGTAACACATAGTAATAGAATTG